GGAGGGGAAATGGTGCCAGTCCCTAGACACAAAGTCCTCCCAGAGGGACGGAGGGGAGCAGAAATCAAGACAAGCGCTCTTTCCCCCGCTCTCGGCAGCATAAAAATTGCTAGCGTGCACCGGAGTCTAAAGCTGAGGGACGCCTTTGAACCTGGGGTGTCTGGGTGAATGTCTGTGAGGTGCAAGGGTTCAGCACTGGAAGAGAGGAGATCTGGAGCTCTGCCCTGCACAGTGCAGTTTGCTCCCTCTGCTGTGTTTTTATCAGAGGTGGAAATTATAATCTTTGTTTATTCTTCTCTAGTGAGGACCAGGATGAGCTGCATTACCAGGATACCGACTCGGATGTGCCGGAGCAGCGGGATGGCAGGTGCAAAGTCAAGTGGACGCAAGAAGAGGTGAGTGAGAGCCCGGCACTTGCTGAGAGCAGGTACTTTGGGGTAGGCCTCTGGCATGGCACCTGGGGCTTGGGTGCTTCCACCCCAGTCATCTACCACTGGCCACGACACCACCTCCTGCTGTCTTGCTACTGGAGAAGATGATGTGTCTGTTTTGCTGATGTGATCTGAGTCTTAATGAGACTAGGAGGTTCAGGGGAGTTTGAAGTGTAGGCTGGAGAGCAAGAGCTCCGACCATTTTAGCTTAAGCATGATGCCCTAAGCGAGGCATCTGCAGCCTGCAGCGCTCTTGTGAGCAAGAGGGGTTCCAGAGGATGGCTGAGGCTTCCAGCAAGCTGAATCGCACAGTGGAAATGTCCTCCCTTTTCTGTAGCAAAAGCAGGGAGCATTGAGACTGTTGGGATCATGGCTTAGTCATCCTGGCTGAGAGCCTGAAATTAGTTGGGATATTCTCTTCCCTCCTCCCCGTTCCTCCATCATCTTTGTTCTGTTTGAAAACTACAAGATGACCTGTCTCCCCTGGGGTCTGAACATCAAGTAAGGTGGTCTTTCTGCAGAGATCAAAGCCTCGGGCTCGTGTTGGGCAGGGAATTATTTTATGCTTCTGTTTGCCCAGCCAGAGTACATAGGCAAGGACACCTATAGCAGGCGCTTTGTGAGCTGTAAGAGTTGGCAAACCTGGGCTGTAGCTGGGTTCATGAATGAAGTGCTGTAGAGCCCAGCAGCACTGAAAGACAGTAGACCACCGGGCTAGCGGTGATACGCTTAAACCAGTCAGCTTTCTTGGCCAGGCAAAAGCAGCGGCTGAGCTGGGAGATGGACTGTCTGGTCACGGGTGTACTGAGGCTGGATAAGCAGGTAGCCTTGGCCCCAGTGTTTGAACAGAGCTGAGCTCTTGTTTTGTACTCACTGTATAAGCTTGCCCTAGTACAGAGCCCAGAACCAAACGGTCTGTTCCAGTTGGGCTCCACATACTGGAGTGCTGCTAAAGGATGGTGTGAGCTATCTTCCTCCCCTGAATGCAGAATGCCAAAAAATCCTTCTTGACAGTTCAAAATATCTAGTTCTCTTGATGCCGTCAGCCCAGGTGTGCCTGTGTTGCCTCAGTGTATGTGAAAGTGGATGTCTTTGTTCTTTGCAGGATGAGCAGCTGAAGATGTTAGTAAGACATTACGGGCAGAATGACTGGAAGTTCCTGGCCAGTCACTTTCCTGTAAGTGACCTCTTGCCCAGTTGGGAATCGTAGTGTTTGCATGTTGCTTCTTGTGCTCATTGTGCTGGTTCTCTGTGTCTGTGCAGCACCTTGCACAGTGGGACTCTGTTCTGTGACTGCACCTCCAGGCTGTGAAACGGTGCTCCTTCAGGGCAGGGAGACATCCTTCTTGTATAGAGGACTTTTAAGGGCGAGTCTGTTGCAGCTGGGGTGAGAAATTGAGGTTCCTGTCTCTGTGCCCAGTGCCCTAGTTGTAGTATGTATTGTCCATGTGCTTCTGCAGGTTTTCCATGGGACAGCTTGTGTGTGGGGCGACTGCTGTGCTTATAGGGGCTTTTGGAGCCCCTGATCTAATGCCTGGCTACTCTCATTCCTTTTCCCAGAACCGCAGCGATCAGCAGTGTCAGTACCGGTGGCTGAGAGTGTTGAATCCAGACTTGGTTAAGGGCCCTTGGACCAAAGAGGAGGACCAAAAGGTAAGTCAGGGCCGAGAGGATCTGAGTGTTGGACTGTGACTGTCTGCGGAGAGGATGGAGGTGTCAGACCCTCGGGTCTTTTTGTAAACTGTATGTAATTCTTTCCAATGGTGGATATCTGCGAGAGCAGCACTCCGACCTGTTCTGAGCAGCCTAATGCAGCTGTGGTCATGATGAGCAGAAGCAGGTCTAGGCCTCTGTAGCTGAACACCTTCTCTCTTTCACACAGTACTGCTACAGTAGGGCGCCAAGGGAGAGAGCAGAAAAGGGAATTAATTCATCTGCCTGCTGGCAGGTCTCCACCTGACCTGGCCATGTTGGACCCAAGAGAAAATAAAAAGTGGATGTCTGAGGTTGGCTAGGTGGATCGTGACTTCTGCAAACCTGTTTCTCTGCTGATTCCAGAGTGAGCTGAGAGGGGCCAGCTTAGATAGTCTCATCATCTTGATGTACTTACGAAAAGTTGGAATGAATTCCAACTTTACCAAGATTTTCTGCTGCAAAATTTCCTAGTTTGTCAGATTCTCTGTAATGTTTCTGCTCCCCCATTTCTTTCCCTTTTGATCCCATTACAGGCTGTTGTGGTCCCTTTTGCCTTCCATCTGTGTGTTATGTCAAGCACATCCTAAGGAAGCTTCTCATGATGTCCTTCTGCCTTCCTACAGCAGAGCAGTTGCTGCCTGCTTTCCCCTTCCCTTTGCATGTCCTGACTCTGCCAGCCTACCCTGCCAGTCCTGATGCCCACTGCCGTCCTGGTCAGGCTGGGCTCCAGCTTTCTCCTCCTGACACTGCACATTGCGCTTTGCCCTACAAGCACTCCAGCTCCTTGGCCTGTGTCTCAGTTTGATGTCTTTGGTCCATTTGTCTGCGCTTGATAGTCAGGAGTCTGCAGTAGGGACATTTGTTACGGGCCAAGAGCACTGTGAGCATCACCTGGCTACCTGCATCTTTCAGCTGAGCGCAGCTGGCCAGGGTGGAAATGCTCTTTGAGAACCCTTCAGCCTACTCTCTCAGATTTTGGTGGGCTGAACACTGCAGGCAGTACATTGTTTCATCCTGACTGTGCCGTGGACATATCGCAGGGGCTTAGAACAGATTCCCTGCCCAGAAGCATTTGCGTTGAGCCTCAGGCAGAAGTGACAAAGCCCTGGGTGAAGGGGAAGTGGCAAAGTGGATGGCTCTTAAGTGAATATTGTTCGTTTTTGCTTTGGAGTTTTCACTGTGTGTCCTGGTGCTAGTGGGGCATGAAGCTGCAGGCCCTGGCATGTCCTGGATGTAGCACCTTCTGTTAAAGGGAGGCTGTGCCCCTCTGTCCCAGCAGACAGACTAGTGCAGAGCTTATGGGGACCGCTGTCATGCGGCCAGGTCCTCGGTAGGAGGGAGGGCAGAGGAGCCTTGGAGCAGGTGGGACTTGGCCCTTGCTCAGAAACAGGCATGTGTTTCTAAATCTGGGCCCCTCTGCCCTTGGAGCACCTGCCAGTCTCCATCCTGTCTTCTGTGAGCAGTTGTCTGCATTCACAGGTGCCATGTGGCAAAATGTCTGCATGGAAACAGCCTCTTTCAGAAATTCAGCTGAATCGTTGCTCTCACAAGTGTTGGTACACCTGATTCAGTGCTGGATCTGTCCAGCTTTTTTTCCTAAGGAGCCTTTCTCTGTCTACCTGGTCCCAAGAGAGATGAAGAGCAAAGCCTGAAGATGACTGTATTGACCTTCCCCTCCTTTATTCCATTTCCTTATTTCCCTCCCTTCCTCTTCAAAGGTAATTGAACTGGTTAAAAAATACGGCACCAAACAATGGACCCTGATAGCCAAGCACCTGAAAGGGCGTTTAGGGAAGCAGTGCCGGGAACGCTGGCATAACCACCTGAACCCTGAGGTGAAGAAGTCCTCATGGACAGAGGAGGAGGATCGCATCATTTTTGAGGCCCACAAGGTCCTGGGGAATCGTTGGGCGGAGATTGCCAAGCTGCTGCCTGGGAGGTAGGACCTCTTTGCTCATTGTTGCTTTCATAGCTGGATGGCCGGTGGAGATCCATGTGTTGGGCTCACAGGATAGGGCTGGAGAGCATGTAGGAGCTGTTAGCTGTGCTTTAAAGCTGCTGTAAATGGTGATTTCTGTTTCCTTCTGCTTTCTCTGCAGGACCGACAATGCTGTGAAGAATCACTGGAATTCCACCATCAAGCGGAAGGTGGACACGGGAGGCTTCCTCAATGAAACCAAGGAGTCCAAGTCACTGTACTTGCTCGTGGAGGTGGATGACAAGGAGAGCCAAAGCCGAAGGAGAGCTGGGAGCCAGGTACTGCAGCAGCACGTTTGTAGCAGGGTCAGTGCCCTGCTCTGCTAATGCGTATCAGAGCTGTTCATCCACCCTTCTGCTGCCTCTCATGCTGCCTTTGCCACAGCCTGGTGTCTACATAGACAGTCTGTGCCTTCCCCCAGCCTTCTCCAAGAGACTGACTCTTGGGAGATCTCTCCCTCCAGGAGCTAGAGGTGTAACGTGAGCCCGAGTGTGTTATCCAGGTGGAGGACAGCAGTCTGCTAGTGCTGTTATCTTGCCAATCCCAGCATCAGGTCTGTCTTGGAGATAGAAGATTTTTTTTTTTTGGCTCCATTGTGCTGTTGCTGGTGGGAGAAGGAGGCTGCTCCAGACAGTGTAGGGAGCGTGGTGAAGAGGTATTGCCTTCCTTTCCTCTAAAAAAGGAAGCAGGGGAAGTACACCCAATTATTTTTTTCATGAAGAAAGCATGTAGTTTTCAAAGGCAGGCTCTTGTAAAGTAGGAAATGCAGAATTAGTGCTACCTGCTCAGCCTTCATTCAACTTTCTCCTGTGATACTGTTAAGTGAAATCTTCAATTAAACAGTTCTGTGCTCATTATGTTGCATGGACTCCTGCTCAGGTGGTGTATGGGACAGAGCAGTGAGGGAGAACAGGGATGTGAAACAAACTGAATAGCAGGTAGGAGAGCAGGCAGAGCTGAATGTGTCCGGGGACCCTTGCTCTTTGTCCCCAGGACTTGACGTTGTTCCCTTGGTTTCTGCTAACGGCTGGACTTTCTTTGTTGTTTGTGCAAAGACCGTCCTGCAGAACTGGCCAGTCGATATCTCTGAAATAAAGGAAGAGGATGTCAGTGACGAGGAAGTGACGGGTGTGCAGGAGTTACCCTCGGAGCTACCAGCTGCTGAACTGGCAGAGCATAACGCTGAGGGGACCCCAGATGATGCGGTGCCTGAGGATGCCTCTTCATTTGTCACATCACCGTACAAATGGGTCGTTGAAGCTGCCAACTATTTGTACCCAACATCTGTGCCAGCCTTCAATGAAGCTCTGGACATGATTGAATCTGTAAGTAACAGACCCTTGCTCCTCCAGCTAATGTAGGGAGACTGATCCTCACCCTTTTCCCGTGAGTGAACTTAGTGGGTCCCCTTGCTCATCACCATGGGCATCCTGAGAAGATCTGGGTCTGTCACTGGCTTGTGGCTTCCCACGGTCTCTTCTCCAGGGCTGGATTAGGCCTTTCTAGCTCTGCCAGTATTGCTCTGGGCTTGCGAATTCCCCTAGGTGGGTGTTTTTGTGCATGGGCTCTGCTGGTGTGGGAGGCTGTAGATGCTGGCAAACCTGATCTCAAGCCCTCCTTTATCAGCCAGAGTGTCTCCAGCTCTCCCTTTTGTAGAAGTTCAGGCCCGTGCTTATGGGCTTTCCTTTCCCTCCTACTATGGGATGGGATAGGACAGGACAGAATGGGAATAGGCCAGGCCCACTTGTACTATGCAGGACAGACCCCGTCACACTGGGATGACCCCCCACTTGCTTTCAGTGGGGGTAGCTTCACTGAAACTAGTCATTTTGGGCCCGTCAGGCAGCACTGAGGTCCCCAGGGTGATGCCAGGGCAGGAAGGCTGGCTAGAAACAACAGAGCACTTTGCTGCCATCAGAGGGAAATGTCTGCAGCTCCCAGCCTGCCTGAGGAGCTTATGAGCTGATTATCCGTGAAGGATCCACTTTGCATGTGTATAGAAGGACAGAGAGTCTGTGCCCAAGGCTTAACGGCCCATCTGTGGGTCCTTAGGGGCCTGCTTGTATGGTACTTCGGGTATTGGTGGGGTTGAGCTGTGAAGCAGCTGATCTCTGAACTGGTCTGGTTATTTTTAATCTGCTTCCAGCAGTGTAGGTTACAGCAGAGCCTTGTGTGCAGCCGTATTGGTGTGCCCAAGACTGATTTGGTGCGGGGTGACAGTTGCTTCATTCAGGCCCTGTCCCCAGACCTATCCCCAGCTGCTTGTTTTGTCCCCTCTGTGTGGGGATGCAGCTGTTTGTGCAGCTGTGCTGTGAACTGAACTGGGAAACCAACCTTGCGTAAATAGAAAAATCTGCCCTACGCAGGAGCAGCAGCTTTCAGCTGGGTCAGTTCCCTGGTCTGGTTCTCAGCTGTGCAGGCAGCAGAGGGGAGGAGGGCTTGAGCTCTCCTCTAACCAGGCTCCTTGCAAAAACTGGTGCGATCTCACACACGCACTTACTTCACCTCCCAGTTCATCTCTGCATCTGCACCAGTTGGCTGCTCAGCTTTCCCTCCTGGGCTGCTTCTGATGGTTTCCTGTGTGTGCAGGACCCAGACGGGTGGTGTGATCTGACCCAGTTTGACCTGCCTGAGGAACCCTCCGCCGGCAGCAGCAGTAGCAGCAACAGCCCGGTGAGGCAAACCCCCAGCAAGCCAACACCGTCCCTGCCCAATGTGACCGAGTACCGCCTGGACGGCCACACCATCTCTGACCTGAGCAAGAGCAGCAAGGGGGAGCTCATCCCCATCTCTCCGCACGCAGAGGTGAGCTTTGGCACGCCGCCCTCTGTGCTGAAGAGGCAGAAGAAGAGGAAGATCTCCCTCTCCCCCGTCACGGAGAATGCCACCAGCACCAGCCTTTCCTTCCTTGACTCCTGCAACAGCATGACGCCCAAGAGCACCCCTGTCAAGACACTGCCCTTCTCTCCATCTCAGGTACAGAGCAATGGCAGAGTCCAGTCTGTGCTCCTCTCCTTGGGCTTGGTCATGAGCTAATAAACATGTTAGTGCTCTTATCTACTTGCCTTGATGCCATGTATTCCCATCAGCTCTGCCAGCTTTGTGTTTCTCCTCCCTTGAACGAGGCAGTGACAGTGCACAAGGTGTGTGTCTTTGCTAAAACAAGGCGCAGAGCTAGATTCTGCTAGTGCTTGTCTTCAGTGCTGCCCTTCCTGTGGGAGCAGCAGCCTGTGTCTGCCTCTGGGAGTGCTTGCAGCGTCGGCAAAGCCCAGCTGTCCTGTGTGATGGGCAGACCATGTGCCCGCTATGAGGAAGGAGCACCACTGTGCAGATTTACATGCCTGCCCGCTCCTGGACTGATGAAGAGCACAGTGGTTCTGTCCCCACGGCATTGCTGCCCCAGCTGTGGGTAGCAGCGTGGCAACAGTGAGAAGTTGATTTCCCTGTTCGTTTCCAGTTAAGTCATGCAGGCAGGCTTGGTAGCACATGCCTTGTGCGGATCTCTGAGTTGTTGTGCTTAGGAAAATGCTCCTGGGCTTGTCGTCTTCGCAAAGGGGACTCAGGAGCTTTCAGCCTTTGTCATGACTCCTACAGTGTCCACACACGTGTGCACACATGGTTTCTAACATACATCATCTTGGAGCACTGTGGTGTTCAAACCCACTGGTGTCTCATATATTGATGGAGTGGTGGAGTTCTGTCTATAAAACAGAATAAAGGCTGCTGTGTTCTCCAGCACAGTTCCCACAGCGGCTCTGTTCAGACCCTGTCTACCCATGCCTTCCAGGCTTTTATTTTGCTGTTTCTGCAGCCCTGGGTGACACAGGTTCAGGTGACAGTGTGACCTCAGGTTCAGATGGACCTTGAATGCAAGGTCAGCAAGAACTGGGAAGTCAGAGTGGGACCTGAAATGTGCAGTTCTGCAGAGCGTGAAAGGCTGGAAGGCCTGGCGTGAATGTGAGAAGGCAAACAGCATGTCCTGCCTCTCAGGCTAAGCTTCAACCATCAGTGAATGTAACACACACAGCTCTTCTCTGCTGATAGGTTCTTGGGTACAAATCTCATTCCTTATAGGAGTAAAGTTGTCACTTATTAGCTGTTGTGAAGTAAAATCCTAGCAGAGATGAGATGATTTGTGGTTTTCTCACAGTTTAGGCTGAAGACAGCTCAATGCAAAATCTGCTGTCTTGTATGTTGTTGCATTACCTGGGCTTCCCTCACGTTTGCTGACCTGAGGTCGGAACAGACCTTTGGTGGGCTGGCATTACCCCTCCACCATTTTGCTTGGTCTTATCTGGACCAGTGCAAGGAGACACTTCTCTCCCACCCTGTAGCTCCTTGTAGTCATATCGACTCATCCCTTATGGGAAGTGAATAATCTTTATGGGTGTGAGGCACCTTCTGGCAACTTTCACGTGTGTGTCCACATACAGGACAGTATGAGTCTGTAAGAGTCATCCTGCTTGATACTGGGACAGATCCCTCTTGTGCCACTCACTATGGGAGGATTGTCCCTACTTCAGGTTTTCTCCCGTATTTAGGAAAAAGTAGTGACTTGTGATACTATGCTGGGATGCTTGTGGCTGAGTGTCTTCTCTTTCTTTCTTTCCTGTGCTGTGCAGTTCTTAAACTTTTGGACCAAACAGGATACACTAGAACTGGAGAACCCATCTCTGACCTCCACGCCTGTGTGCAGTCAGAAGGTGATTGTCACCACCCCTCTGCACAGGGACAAGACCCCTCTGCTCCAGAAGAACTCAGCGTAAGTCCTTTCCTCCTCCCCCATCCCCACCTGAGCAGTGTCCTTTTCCACACAGGAGTCTGGTCCAATTCAAACATACCTCCCCCGGTACTTGTACTGGCACTACTGAGAGAGGGGCGAGGCAGGCTGGGGATTTCCTTAAACCAGTGTTTTCTCCCCCAAAGACAGCTCCTCTCTGAGCTGCAGGGAACAAGTGTCCCATGTGATTGGGGCTGCAGCCAAGTGACCACCGTTGTGCTCAGCTGCTGGGTGGGCTGTTGCCTTCTGTGCGTGTCTTTGTGAAACGTTGCTGTGCTGTGAGCCCTGTGCCAGCAGGGAAGGGATTTGATTTTCTCAGCAAGAGCTGTTCAGATCCATCCCTTTAGCTTTGCACCCTCTGCTTTGCCTGTCCTGAGGGGCAGTCCAGGGAGATGATTACCCAAGGCGCTGTACCAGGCAGGTGAGAAGGGGTGGTCTGTACAGAGGGTGTTTTCCTGGCAGACCTGTCGCTGCACTGAAGCAGCACAGTGTTTGGGGGTGCTGGCTGTGCTAGCAAAACTGCTCTATTGTTGGCATGCTCCAGAGCAGCTCCCCCGTCCAGGCGGTGTGAGCTGGCTTGGCTGCTCTAAGTGTATTTGCACCCAGGACTTCTGCTGGTCCAGCTGTGACTGTCGCAAAGCCCAGGCTGGGCCTGAGCCAGCAGAAGCGTTGCAGAGTAGGGCTGGCCTGCAGAGCTGCATGTCACCTGTGTCGGAGGTGCTGTACCACTTTCTGACCAGGGTGCTTGGCAGCTGGCAGGGTGGAGCAGCATAGCTGGCATGTCTGAAAGATGTTTTCCCTGCTAAAGGCTCCTCTGCGCCTGTTTGCCCTGCTCGCGCCCCAGGAGCAGTCCAGCCAGGCTGGTGGCTTCTGCTGCCACCACGTGAGACTCTGCAAGTGGCTCATGTGATGAGAGGGCTCAGAAGGACGGGGGTTACTTTGCGTGGGTTACAGCACGTCTGATTCTTCGTCTTTCCCGCTCTCTGCTGCTAGGTTTGTCACACCAGATCAGAAGTATGTGGTGGACAACACTCCTCACACTCCCACACCTTTCAAAAATGCCCTGGAGAAATATGGACCAATTAGGCCTCTGGTAAGTATTGGGCAGGTCTGCCGCTTGCTGATGGTGAAACATAATGAATACAAACGGGACGTGGGGTAGGTTGCAGTGAGCGAGCTGTAATCTGTGCCATAACAAGGTACAGTTTGGTAGTGCCAGGCTGAGATGGGAGGGATGAAGGGGACCTTGTCATTGTGAACATGTCATGGTAAGCAGCCAGAGGACCAGCTAAAAATGCCAAAAACTGCCCTTGAATCAGGCTGCAGTACTTGGCTACTGATGGCCTTGAGGAGAAGCAAGGGAGCAATCTACCTAGGCACCGCTGACGCACTGGGTCTCTTAATGTGGGTGTTGCTGGGATGGCAGTTTCCAGTATCCCAGGCCTTCTGTCTGGTTCTCAGTGGCACATTTGGGGTTCAGCTGTTAAGAGTCTCTCATGTCTGGCAATCCTGTAAACCTGTCAGGCTAGCAGAAATCTTGTCAATATCTTTTCCAGCTGGGAAGTAAATAAGTTGTCTTTGTGTTTGTCGTCCCACTATGGGCTCCCCTGACCCCATTATCCCTTGAGGGAAGTACTCGTGAGTCTACCCAGCATACAGATTTTTGATTGTCTTGTGCTCTCTCTCCACCTCTTCAACACCAGCCCCAGACTCCTCACCTGGAAGAAGACTTGAAAGAGGTTCTCCGAAGTGAAGCTGGCATTGAACTTATCATAGAGGACGATGTGAAGCCTGAGAAACAGAAGAGGAAACAAGGGGTGAGCTGATTTTGCATCCAATACCTGCTGCTGAGCTGCCCTGTGCTATTGAGGGATGTTTTGGACAGTTTTGTTCATCCTACTGTTGATGCCAGAAAGTTTTTGGCCTGTGGCTGCTGCCTTTTAATCAGCAAGAGGTTAAGGCCTGCTTAAAATACAGCCAGCTGTGTCCTGGTTTATGCTGAACTCAGGGCAGGTTAGAAGATGCTGTGTCCCTAACCTACAGGAGAGACCCATGGCATGCTTGGAGCATCTGTGGCAAGCTGGGCTCCCAGCAGGCTGTGGACTGGTATGCAAAGTCTCTTGGCTCAGTTGCCCTGATGGCTTTCCTTTCCTACTGAAAGGAGCTTCCTCTTTTATATCAGTGGCTCTTGGTGCCAGGAGGAGAGCACTGGAAGCTGTTGTGCCCTGTGGTGGGGAAGGCTGCTGCACGTCTTCTTCCTGGGGTGCTGGTGCAATGCAGACCTGGGGTGACATGGGCTTGGTGTGCACCCTGGGCCCTTAGGATGGAAGTTCACCGGGTTGATTCATGCTGACACTTGTTTTTCTATGTCCCCCAGTTGCGCAGGAGTCCCATTAAGAAGGTCCGGAAGTCTCTGGCCCTGGATATTGTGGATGAAGATATGACGCAAAATATGCCTGCGCTCCCTAAGACTGTCTGTTTCAAAAGAGCCCAGGTGAGGGCTACTGTCCTCAGAGCAAGGGTAGAGCTGGCTTCTGCTCCAGAGAAACCCTGTGCAAAGCAGTGGTGGGAGCTTTGCCACCTGCAGCTGCCTTTGAACAGTACATGTGAATGTGGGTGAAGGGCTGGATTTGTTAGCTAGCCTTTTGGCCAGGCCAAGTATCAGCACTGTTAGGGCAAATGAACTTGTTTCCTTATACTTTTCTTTTTTTCCCCTTTGCAGCCTGTGAATTTCTTGTCGAGGTCCCTGAACCTTTCCTCCTCGAGCAGAAAGAACGACAGTGGTTTGCTCAACAGAGCCTTCGTGCAAGTGCAGCCAGAGAAAATGTCCTACAGGAAAATGCCAAGCCATTTCAGACCACCAGCACCGGTAAGCCCTGCAGCCCCTGTTCTCCCAGTCAGGAGGCTAGCTGGTGTTAGTGCAGCCCTTGTCCCTCCTCAGGAGGAGGAGCAAGGGGACGAAGCTCTGCGCACTCCTGCATAGGCATCGCTATGCTGTCAGGGCTGTCTTTGCACCCAGGTTTGGAGATGCTGAGCCAGCCAAAAAGGTATTTCCCATCTCTGTGATTTTTAGAGTGTTTCTAGGTTGTGATGAAGGCTGTGTGCCATAGGCAGCGTAAGCTGGCTTTATCCTGCTGTTTACCTGAACCCGTGGCGGTGCAGAGCTCCAGCTGACGGTGGACCACCTTGGCAGCTCATGCTGAGGTTGGTGGTGTTACAGCTACCCTGTTCCTCAGGGTAGATGTGGAGCACATCTGAGCTGTGCTGGAGTCACAGTAGACTACAAATGCACTCTGGGGCATAAATGGTCTCTTGTGCTCTCCTTAAAATCTTCACCATTTGGTATGTTTGCAGGCAGAGTGCACTAGTAGAGGGGTATCCCTGCTTTGTTAGGTAGCGTGGCTTAGAGAAGGGGATTTGTACCATGATTTTGCAGATATTTGCTTGGACCAAGTCATGGGAGCGCTGTGGTAGCTTGAATGAGGATGGATATACATGCTGTCCTTGGTGGGGGGTGAAACTACAACTGGGGGCTAGTGCTGGGGGTGTTTTCAGATCCCAGGAAGAGTCCAGGTACAGTGTTGTCTTCACTAAGCAGCCTTGGCTCAGTCTTCACTAAATGCTGCAGCAAGGGGGGTTGCAGCTGTCCCTGGATTAGAGCTGTCTGTTGTGAAAGCTCTTTCTCCTGACAAATAAGTACTCTTCAGCCAGAGTAATTCCTTCCCCTTCTCAAAATAAACCCTACTTAAACACTTCCATTCCTCCTCCTGTCCTAGGCGGGGCCATATTGCTCTGAGAGCTAATAGATCCATATAAATAAAGCTTTGGGAGTGACTTGATGGTGACAGTAAGGCAGCTTGCATGGTGACAGAGTACAGGGGTGCAGTGAAATCCCATTGCCCAAAGACAGCAGAGCTGTCTGCGGTGTTGCTGGGCTGTCGGGATTTATTGTGCCGGGCTGGTGTTGCTAGCAGTGGCAGTTATTTATGAAGGCAGCTCACCTAGCTGTGGGCTGAACCTAAATCAGCCCCAAAGCCATGCTCTGGCTGCATGAGGCATTGTTACTGTAAAAAAACGCTGAAGCTCGACCTCTGGTTCTTTGCAGTGCATGTAAATGGGTATTTCCAGTTCAGGGTGTTGTGTATCTCTTGGCTGCATTTATCAGAGGATATGCAGGGGTTTTCCTGGAATGCAAAAACACCTCATGGGTGCCCTTTCTGCACGCAGTGACTGAAGCACATCTGATTTTTGGCTCTTCCTGTGTGCTGCAGGGCCCTGCTGAAACTACAGGCACCAAACTGCTGTTAAGGATGGTCTTTGACCAATCTAGACCTGGGGCTATGCAGCTCCTGTAGGAATTGAACTGGCTGGGAATAAACCCCAAAGCTGTTCTTGAATTCTTTCCATCCTTCTGGACTTTCTTCAGCACAAGGAGCCTTAGTGGGTTTGTGCTTTGGGGTTTTTGTCTCAAGTCAAGTAAGGAAAGCCCTGAAGGAGTACATGAATAATTCTGAAATGGAGCACTCACCTGGGAAACTGCTGAATGTAACTTCCCTTTGCTAGAAACGACCATCTTGGCTGTGATGAGTAACTGGTGGTGTGCAAGTTCCTCCTGGTTGCAAGATGGGTGCTCGTAAGTGGGAGGTTTTATTTCCCTTGGGTAGCAGGTAGCTGTTAGTTTATTTATTTTTGCAGTGTTTTAAAACAGGATGTCAACATTGTGTTTGTCCTGTCCCATAATTGTGTTGTATGCATGCTTTCTTTTCCCTCTGTAGATGACCAGGGCTTGGAAAGCGGTGGCCTGTGGTGGAACCCAAGACCAACTCTTCATGCAGGAGAAAGCTCGACAGTTTTTGGGCATGTTGAAACAGTCTCACACATCAAGGACCTTAATCTTATCATGAAGGATTGTTCTGCTTTTTTAATTTTATTTTTTAAAATTTTTTTATAAGTGGAGGGGAGGGGGAACCACAGGAAAAAATATCCTCTGCCCAGCCAGTGTGTGTAGGGGTGGTTTTTTTCCTTCTGTTCCCAGGTAGATCTATATTGTAATAAATTGGGCTAACTGCTGGCTAATGTGTGGAATGCAAGTTTTGGGATCATTATGGAAAGGCAAACAAGGGAGGGTGGAGAGCTAACAGCAAGACCTCTCTCTGCAAGACCTGGGTTCCGCAAAAGTAGAAGCATGCAGCTGTGTTCCACCTTGGAGCAGCGTGTGTGGCAGGCGGTGGAGACCAGCCTCGCAGCCTGGATTTCATGCTGGCTGCTCTGGTACCTTGAGAATGGCTTTTGCAAAGGTTCCTGCAAGTCTTGCATCTCCCCTTCCTTTTTTTTTGGGGGAATGGAGTGGTCTCCCCTCACTCTAGGAGCAGGGAGAGTGTTGCACACTCGTGGGAGAAGTGCTTTGGGGTGGCCCGTGTTTGGAACCGGCCCCTTGCTCCCTGCGGGGCTGCTCTGTACTGCCGCGCTGCAGAAGGGGAGCGGCGGGCACCTCTCCCCGGGGCTGCGCTCCCTCTTCAAATAAACGATGGTGCTAACATCACCCTGTTGCTCGGACTCTGACTCTGCCCGGGGCCTCATAACGCTCGGAGGGAGGCAGCGCTGTGCCGGGAGGCAGCAAAGCACCGGCTTTCACATGGGATCTTTTCTTTGTGGCAAATTGCTGAATTCACGTTAGCCTCTGAATTCACGTGTGGCTAGGGATGTTTCCCCCCCTCACTCTCAGTAGTTTAATGGGCTGTTTAGGAATGGCTTTAGTTACTCCATGGGAAGGTTCTGGAGTGTGTTCGAGCTTAGTGTGGCCAGGGTCTCTGCAAAGCTGCAGGAGTGGGTGGAGGCTGCAGAGAGCTGTGGGCAGGAGAACAGCACCAGGAGTGTGTGAGCCTCTTGTGTCCTCCTTCCTTTGGAGGCCAAAGCTGTGTCCACGTTGCTGTTTCAGTGCAGTAACAGTAATACGGTGTGCCGTTTCGATGTAGCCAAGGTTGGAATGCAGTGATAGTAGCAGTATACTAACTGTTTGTGATTGGAAAGCTGCTGGAAATACTGAAGAGCAGCTCACCAGTTAGACCAGCACATGAACAGCTCTTCGGGTGAGCCCCATTCAGGGCTGTGGTGCAATTTGCCATCCTCTGTGAGCCACCGAAGCCATTGTGGCAGATCTGCCTCTGGCTGGGGGTGGCAGAACAGCAAGGATGTGGGGAAGAGGTCCGTTCACTCTTAATGGAGTCACTGTCCCCAGTCCCTTTGCAGGGTGGAAAAACAGAGCAGGGCTGTATAAATCTCACTTCAGGCTGTGGCTTACATTGGAAATAGAGTCAAAAAATCCTTACTGACAAACTTGTTAATAAAACCTTGGATCCTGGGAAATGAGGGAGTTTTAGAAACCCAGCTCATTTTTCATTTCTACAAGCTCAGAGCCAAAGTAAATCCATGAAGTCATTTTTATTTCTGTTTCTCAGTGCTGCAATGTTTACTTTGGAAAGGTGGCTGGGACCACTTGTCTGAAAGCCTGGCTTTAGCAGCTTCCATTCTGTTGTTATTTTAAGAAAAATCGTCATAAACCCATCCCTCTTTGCTTGGGCTTTAGTGGGCTCAGCCGTTCCTGCGCTGGGTGACTTTATGAAACCAAGCCCAGGATTGCGTTTCCTTCCCGGAGCCGACGTGAGCTGGGAGTCCTGAGCAGGCAGGGTCTGCCGGAGAATACATGGGTGGGGGAGCCTGGCATGTGTGTTTGGGAGCTGCTCCTAAATGAAAGGATTATGAGGCTGAGAAGTATTAACTGCTGCTCTGATGCTGTAAATCCAGATAGTGCTGGGTGTCCTGCATTGCGGAGTGCTTATTAAGAAAGATTGAGGGGCAGAAAAATACCGAGGAAAATGAGCAAGGCCTGGCATGGTTAATGAGTAAAAAGACAATTAGCTTTTAATTGGAAAATAGAGCTCCTGGTGTGGATGTTAGTAGCCTGGCTTGGCTGTCCTGGGGCTCAGGAATAGGCACCGCTCTGCAGGTGGGGGAAAAAGGCCCCACTTGCTTCATTTTTCTGTTAATTCAGATGCTCTGCTTTATTTCCATTAAAACCTTGTAGAGGTTGAACTTCCTGCTGGCTGTGGAATCCCTGGGGCCAGCCGGGCAGCGCTGGGCTGGAGCTGGAGAGCTTGGGAGGGGGTTTTGCTGGAGACCCCTCTCAGTCTGGGGCTCTGTGTCCCCGCAGTGTCCCTGGCTGTGCCCTGGCCATCGTCCCTTTGAACCCTCTGCAGCAACCCAGCCCTCTCAGGCTGCACAACCCTCATTCACAAAAAGAACCCTGAAAATGTAATTTAACTTTAAATGAAAGACCAGGACAAGAGTCCCAGGAGCCGTGGTGCCTCTGCCATGTGGGAGAATAATCCTCTCCTGCGGCCTGGCTTGCTGGAAAGCTGCAGAAACCCTGGGTTGCTGCTTTATTTTAAACTTTGTATTTGCTTTTGGTATTTTGCATTCCTCAGCAGAGCAGATGACCCCTTGTTAGAATCCAGACTTGGAAAAAGGACTGATTTTAGCAGGGATGAGAGGGGAATAGCAGAGCTGGAGCTCCCAGGGTCACAGCAGTGCCCGACTGCAAGCAGGATGTTGCTTCCAGCTGGGAAAAGCCCTGAAAAAGCTGGGGAGAGCAAAAATACCAGGGTAAGGAAAAAAGAGAGGACACACAGGGTTTTTTATTGGCAGGCTTCCTTCTGGATGGAGCTGGGTTGTGCCCAGGTGGGCAGCAATTGGGCAGAGTGGTGCTGAGCCTATGAAGCTCCGCAGCCGGCAGCGCGGGAGCTGCTGCGTGTCCCTCAAAGCTGCTGGGCTTGTTCCCGCTGGTTGGAGGGATTTCATAGCCTTTTTATCTTGTTTTCACAGCTAATTCTGCTAAGGCGCTGTGCAAACAGCAGGTTGCTCACAGGGGGCTTTTTGGCAAGGCACCTGTGGGGAGAGCTGTCCCTGCACGTAGCCGTGGAGGAATGCAAACGGTGAATGAAGTATTTTTTTCCTATTTCAGGCATTTCCTGTAACTAAAAGTAAGAAAAGAAAAAGGCAGCTGAAGTGATGCACCCTGTTCCCAGCTCACCCGCGGAACCAGCCCTGGTAAAGCCCAAGCGCTTTGCCTGCTCCTGTGCAGAGGTGTTGTGCCGGCGCAGCTCCCTGGCCGGGGTGGCATTGCTGAGCGCCGCAGCTGCGGCAGCAGAGGCTGCTAACCTGGGTGCAATTACCGGCACAACCCAAACTTGCCCCGTTGACCTTGCTAATACAGACTACTTAGTAACTAATGCGATGGCATAGAGCAAAGTAAATTGCAGAGCATGAAACAGTGAATAATTGCTTAGCGGTGATTCAGAGGTTTGAGTTTGAGCATAACCTGTTGCTGCCTGATGTTTCCGTGAAAGCACAGTGTGCACGGAGGGTGTCCGGTGGGGTTGTTCTACCGGAGCAGCGGTGCGATCCCATGTTACAGCAGGGCTATTGGCTGCACCGGGAGCGTCTCAGCTCCCAACGTTTCCAAACACTGCCGTTCGGGAGCCGGCTCTGCTCTGTGGAGGATGCGCAGGCGTGCTGCTGCATCCCTGCTCTCCTCCTGCCTTCCTGCACGGGGCAGAGGGGTTTGCCCGGGCTGTGCATCCTCCGGGGCTGCGGGCGTGCTGCGTTGGGGGCAAAAAAAGATTAATTTCCCATTGGTGGCTAAATTTGAGCTGGTTACACCTTGACGATGTTTCACGAGCTTTATCGCGGCTCGGTGCAGGAAGGTAGGCTGCCTTAGACCCTGCGTTGGACCCTGTGGTGGGGGCAAGGGGATGCCGAGGTCGGGGTGGATGGATTGGGCTTCTGCTTCGCCAAAAAACGCTTTGACCCTGGGGCTTATTCAAAGCAGCAAAGTGCCTCCTGTCCCACCTTTGCTTATGGTATTTATTGAGCAGTTGCTAAGCAATAACCTTGTAAAATTTCCAATGTGCTTTTTTTGACAATTCAACCTGTGGTTTAGAGGTTTAGGAAATTAAAAGGACAATTTTAGCCTGGTAGGTACCTGCTGAGGATTAGCTGAGCAGCTCCTGGATTTTGCAAAAGATGGAGACCACTCGTGTTAAGAGCTGGCTGCAGCTGGACAGGAAACTGATTGTGCTTTGGAAACTTAAAATTCCCCCTCCCCTGTTTCTGGAGCAAGGAAACTGCAATTCTTCATCCCCACCAGTACAGAATAATAAAAGATTAAAATATGGTATGAGGTCAGGGAAAACAGTTTGCTGTGGAAACTGAAGGGTTTGGAGTGAGGAAATGAATGTTTCCATTTGGAGAACGTTAGAAAAGAGAAATTTCAGGGACTTAAAACCCACGCTGTGCAAAGCTCAGCAGAACTGCCCGGGGACAAGCGCAGGCTCATCTCCCCTTGCCACGGCCAGCGTCTGGCTTATCCATCCATTGCTGGCAGAGGTCAAAAACGCACCCTGGCTCGTAAGCGACCTAGTGACCTAATAGCTGGTGAAAGGTAAATTTAATGCTTTTGTAGGGGTTTTATTTGTAAATGCATTAGTTCTATTTTTTTTTTTCCAAAATACTAGACAGATCTTGTAGGAAAATGAATAGAAATGGCATTCCTAATTCCCCTAGGGATTTTTTTGTTTAGTTGTTTTGGAAATCTCACCCAAAGCTTTGGCTTCGAGCGAGGCAGTCAGCCCAGGGGAGGGGATGTCTTGCCTCACTGTTGTACTGTGATGCCTCTTCAGGTGTGATTTTCTTCTTTGCCTTTTTTTTTCCTTTTTTTCTCTCTCTTTTTTTTTTTTTTTTTTTTTTTGGTGCAAATGCACTGTGTCCTGTCCTGAGTTCGGCCAGGGGCACCGAGCTGCTGAAAGCGCCCAGCGAGAAAGGGAGAGCCCAGTGCCTGGCTGTGCTTCGGGCAAAGACCCAGGGCAGCACCTCGCTTTGGACGGGGAGATGCTCCAGCGCGTTGCGCTGCTGTTCCCCACCACCCTGCAGGCGAGCAAAGCCGCCTCCCTGCCCGCTGCTCCCCTCCTCGCTACCGCAGCCGGAGCTGGAATGCAAAGTCTGATGCATAAAGCTGTGTT